ATTTAGAAGTCGACTTTTAGTCGACTTTCCGCCATTTTTAGAAGTCGCCTATTTAGAAGTCGACTTTTAGTCGACTTTCTGCCATTTTTAGAAGCCGACTAGAAGTCGACTTATAAAAGTCGACTTACCGTCGACTTTCCGTCAACTGTGCTCTTAGGGTGAGGGCCGTCCGAGAATAGGTGGCGGAGAACATGGATCAGGCGAACCAGAGGCAGGCCGCGCATTATAATCTGCGTAGACGACCGCGGAGATTCCGAGTCGGGGACTTGGTATTAAGGCGGCAGCTCGTGCTTTCGTCAGCCGCGCAGAATATCGCGGGAAAACGCGCCGAAATTCCAGGGACCCTTACGAGTGAAACGGGTGATCTCTCCGGTGGTGTACGAGTTGACACAGCTGGACGGGTCAATCGTAGGGAAAGTGCATGTTAAGGATGTGAAACCGTACTACCCTCCTAACCCCGACCCGTAGGGCTTACCGAGAGAAACAAGAACGGTCCCGCAAAGTTATGGAAAGGGCCCGGCGAATGGCCAGGGAGGGGTGGTCCGACTTCTGGCAGGACCACCTTAACGAGAGGATATCTCTAGAAATGGCCAACCCGGACTTCTGGGAAGATCTGGGGGAAATGTTGGAATGGCTGCAAAAGGTCCAGGATTGGATGACCCAAAGGGCCCCGGGAAGAGTGGCCATATCAGAGATCCCGCCGCAGAGGGACCAGGACTCCCAGACGAACGGAGCGGCCGCAGTGACGGCAAGGCCCCGAGAGGACCGGAGCGTGCGGACGCGGGGGGAGTTGGGGGTCATGCCGTGGTCCGTGCCGAGGACGGGGCGGATCACCCGGTGGGCCCAGACCGACACCGTGGTCATGCGCACGGTGGGTACCCAGACCCAGCCGATGGAGGAGGCGATGGACGAGCCACCCCGAGGGCGCGCAGCGAGCCCGTCAACCCGACCGGCAGCGGAGGCAATGCCGGAGCAGCCCGAGTTCCCGAGAGGGTGTTGGAATTGTCAGGAGATGGGACACTCCTTCAGCCGCTGCCCCCACTCCCGCGGGAGGTATTTCTGCTTTGGGTGTGGGGCCCGAGGAGTGAAGCTGAGCGGCTGCCGCCGCTGTGGGCCCGGATACGAAGAGCTGCGCGGGAGCGGGAATGCCCGAGGGCCCCGCGACTTGTGCCGCGATCGCAGCCGAAGCCGGTCAAGGAGGCAGTAGACCGGAGCCCGAGGACCCGGAGGGGACTCCTAACGCCAGGCCCTAGATACCGCGAATAGTCGAGACCCCCCCCCCCCAGGATTATACCTTCGGTGCCCAAAATAAAGTGTGTTCATAGAGCTTACGTCCAATGATTGAGCGTGTGCATGTCGAACCCTTCCTCCTTCTTCCTGCTCCCTGGTGTGGGGACTTCGCGCGGAGGTTGGAACGGGGCGGGATGGACAGAGTGGGACGCGGTCGGGGAGATTCGGGAGGGAGCAAGGTCGGTAAACGATGGTCCGGCGGGTAGTTGGACGGATTCGGGGAGAATTTTTGGAAAAGATTGAGAAGTAATTCGGAGATTCGATGAGTAACGTTGGAAGGGGAGACGCATTGACTGATCGGGGCCGGACGGGGCGAAGCCGTCACCGGCAGAGTAAGGGCTAACGAGGGGAATTGTCAAGTTGGTATGGAGTAAACTCAAGAAGGCTTGAGCGGTGGCCACCGGCAGGCAGGGGCAGACGTCCCCCTCGGCACTCGTCTGGGAGCGGGGAGTTGTGACGTGACAAAAGTCACGTCCCTTACCCCAGATGGGAGCTCGGCCAAGGGAGGCGTCAGGGATGGTGCCTCCGCCCGGGCGGGCGGAAAGCGAACATTTAGGTTAGGATTAAGATCTGTTGCGAGCGTTACAGGTCGAGGGAGTGCGGAGCAGATGGCCAGGGTCACGACGTTGTAACGGCATATGCCGCATCGAGGGACTTACGGCTGGACTGCAGGAAGCTTCCGAGGGCGGACAGTCGAAGGGCGGGTCACGCTGGAGCCGAAAAATCAGCTGGTCTGTCAGAGCGTCACCAGCGGCACGAGAGCACTGCAACCCGAATACGGAGGACCCGAAGAGGGGGACGCCCCGACGAAGGTTCCCGTCAAGGAACGGGGCCACCACCGGTGTATCGCCACCGGTCGACGAGCCAGGGCCCGGCCGGCCTGGCCGTCGAGAAACCGGACGATGTGTCGCGGCCTGGACAGCCGGTCTCACGAAAGGCGGGCTTTAAATCTACCGCCGGCGGATGGGAGCAGTGACAAGGGGCGCCTTAGTAGGGCGCGACGGTCGCCTAGGAGGATCGGTAGCGTGCCAGGGTGCAGCACCTGATGGGGCTAGGGACACCGGCGCGCGCGCGCACGAGGGCTCAACGTGGTCCCGCCGGGCCGAAGTAACGCCACTGTCGTGCGAGCCGCCATCCCGGCAACATCCAGCCCTGCGAGCCGAACGACGAGCTGCAGGAACCAGGAGGAATTTGTAAGGCCACTGCTCAGCCTCCCCGAAGTAAGATCGCGGTAATAACAAGGCCCTCCCGGG